CTGACATTAATAGGCCAAAATATTTTTTTTTGTTCCATAATAAATGGAACATAAAAAAAAAAATCTTTAGCTTTGTTCGGATATTTACGTATAACAGAAAAGTCGGCGCTCCCTTTTTCTTCCACTTTGCAAAAATATTTTATTTAAAGTGAGTCTAACACAAAAGATCTTAATATAAAACATTAAAGTTTATTTGTCTATATTTATCGAAAAAGTGAAAAGTTTCAGGGAGGTTACTGATACTTTTGCAAGGTTCCAAAATACAGTCACTTGCTAGATTTACTCTGAATCATTGGTCATTACAATAAAAAACTCTAATGCATTAAGAGGAAAAATATTGCATATTATTTACAGAGAGTAGAGCAGCGATCATAATGAAATCCCCAATGAGTACCAGATAAGAGGGAAAACACTGCCACAGCTCACTGTGATGCTGTATATTATAGGCTCCACAAAAGAGAGTCATTCTGGTCTGTCTGAGCTTGAGAGAGACAGAGTGACCTTGACAAAGCAGAAATGGCTCTATAAAAAGACTATGTTTATTCACATAAGGATGAATCTGCCCACGTCAGCAGCACTGTTACCTATTATTCTTAAGTTTTTCATGATTCAGAGCCTGGTTGCAACATAACATTGTCTTTGATGAAGGCTGTTCATATTCGCCAACTCTCTGTGACTGTCCCTCAGTCTCTCTGTCTGAGCATGTGCAGAGAGCCACTGCAGTGCTGCACTGTGAAAAGAGAGAGACAGAGGAGAATTCTCATTGCTGTCCCATGCGTGCAAAAGCATTTAAAGAATATATGAACATATTTGTGGGTAGTCTGCTCCTGCAGGCCTGCATATTGAGGAATCCATTAAGCTTGAAAGCCTTCATATCAATGTCTGCAACCCACAAGACAGTGAATAATTTTTCACGGCACATATTCTAATTCGCCAGTGTATGAGAACATGTGTTGTTGTGGTTATTCCCTTGCCAAATTGATATGCTGAGTGATTTTTGGTTAAAGTGATTTCCACATTTCTTGGGTGTTAACTTTCTACACATGTGGAAATCTTAATCAATTTCTTAATCAAGAGAAATAATGGACTAATGTTATTTTTCCTTATTTAAAACGCCATCCCTCTCATTCTATTTAGGACTGTTTAATGTCTTGTAGTTTGTTTCTCTGTGCACTTAATGTCAAATAGGTGTTTACCTGGTAAGTAAAGGAAAATATGGTTTAAATGAACAATAGAAGTCTGAAAAATATTTTTTCTACAAATTAGTAAGATATTGTTACACTTTTAAAGACATCTCTAAAAGCGTAATACTTTAGTAATAGTAAGGAGCACGGAAAAAATGTTTTGTTTCTCTTATCAACAATATCTAATAAGCAGAAAATGTTTTGGTTGGAAAAGATATAAGTTTCTTGCTTTCGCTTTGATGCAGAATCAGAGTCCAACAGTATTAGTCAGTTTGTTGCAGGCATGGTCTGTCTTTGCCTCTCAGGCTGCTGAGGCATCAGAACAGGTGGAACATAAACGGCACAGCAAGTGCACCTCACAGTCGTGACGCACGCTGGTATTTCTAAAAAAGCTGTCATCCATTTTGTGGCCAATGATGACGATAGTGGTGAAAGATGGGGTGGTGGTGGTGGTGGGGTGAGATCTGTTGGTCGAAAGGGCCATCAAGTGGCCAGGAGCTGAAATGCATCTTTTCAGAGCAGAGCTGGGGCACACTGCTCAGCAGTAGTAGAGAAGCTGTTGTAATAAAGCCAGCAGACCAGTGAAACACTGCTTTCTCTTACATTGAAAATGGTCACGCTTCAGTAGGCCCTTTGAAGCAGATTCACGGTGTCATTTTCTACCAAATGATTCTCCAAGAGGTTCAATTCCCTGTGTTAGAGAATATATATCTTGTAATTGGATCCATTTTGTTACCTTTCCCCTGTATAGATCCTTCTAATGTTGTGTTACTAATGTCCAGAATTGAGTTTAATCATGCCTCACTGCCCTCGGTAGATGTAAGCGACACCAAGGTCCTTTTGTTTCATGAGGGTATCTTTTACAGACTATTCATTGGGTCTGCTGTAATGTCACCCTAACCTTGTGTCCTGCAGGTAAACACGGCATGTGCTTCTGACAGGCCCACACTCGGGTCAGGATAACCGTTCATCCCTTACAGACCAAAGAAGCAGCTTTAAATGAAGTTTGCTTTAATTAATGAGGTGGACACACAAATGGCTACATTTCAGCGAGATAAAATGAAATGTACAGAGCTAATGGCATTCAGAATAAGAATATTGTACTATTGTAGTATATTGGAATATTTTTTTCTAAAGACTCCATTATTATTGCAGTCTACAAAGACAGCAATACTCTTTCAACGCACTGCTTCGCTTTGTTTGTAATGATTTAGCTGGTGTAAATCAATTGTCTTCTGACTTCTATAAATGAGGAAGACATTTATTTAATTCTTTTTAAAAAATGCTTTCTGAAGCATTTCTTTCATAAGCTGGTCTTCCTATTTCTCTAATTGCTGTATTTTATGGTAAAACAGTTTGTTTAATTCATTCATTTTGAAAAGTTGTTAAGTTATCCCTTTTAGGCTGCTTACTGACATACTGTCCCCAGTGCACAATTTTTTTGTCGCCTATTTACATTTCCAGTTGATGGGAATACAGTAGGCATCTCAATCACGGATGTAGAAGGAGCCCGCCCAAGGCACCAAATGTGCTAGAATTGCTGATCTCCCCTTCCAGAAGTTCTAGTTATTTCATTTGACATCACAATTATCAAACAATAATGTATTTTATTGTATTGATTCCTTATCCTATATGAAAGACTAGCCATTCATTTTTGGGGGGCAAAAAATCACTTCAAAGACAGTATTTACAATTAAAATCTACTTTGATGATTTGATTCATTTTCAGGAACCTTTCTGTCTGGTAAATTCAATCAGGCAAGAAGTTGCAAATTTTTAGTCCTAATGTTTGTGGTTAACATTTTTCTCAAGATATTATAGGTTTTGTCGTTTTCATTGATATTGAAATCCATATCTAAATGCTTTTGTAAAATCCCTGAAAATATGTAGTCGTCTTTTTTCAGTTGTTAATCGAAAATTGTCCTGTTATCATACTCATAAAAGTTGTCTTAAATTATCCAGGACCGGGTCATGGGATAATGACAGCATTCTCAGCCTAAACTCTGAATATACCTCATCCAACTCCACTGGGAGAAGCCTGAGGCATCCCCATGCCAGCCAAGAGACATAGTCCTTCCTACGTGACCTGGCCTCTTCTCTTCTGGAACACCTTTGTAGAATACCCTCAGCTGGCTCTACTCAATGTGGAGGAGAAGCAGCAGTTCTTCAATTCAAGCCTCTCCCAGACGGCCAAGCTCCTCACCCTACCTATGGGGGCGCCAGGAGAAAACTAATTTTAGCTTATCTGGGATCTTTTTCTTTCTGTCATGATCCAGATTCATGATCATAGGTAAGAAAGGGAAGGTATTGACTGTTAAACTGAGATCTTTACCTTTGCTCAGCTCTCTCCTTACCACAACAGACCAGCGCAAAACCTCAAGAAACTTAAACTCCTGCACTCTAGCTAGTACGTCCCTCTCCGAGGAGGGCAGGCTACCTTTTATCAGTCATGAATCATGGCTTTGGACTTGGAGAAGCTGATCTTCACTCCAGCTACCTGCACTAGGCAGCGCATGTGGCAGAGTCTCACATACGCTGATAAAAGGTGCATAATGCTCGCCCTGCAAATCAAACTCCTGCTCCATTTATATATA